CCCTTGCGCTCTTCTGCTTGCAGCCTCTTCTAACCTTTCCGGTTCTAGCCTGGCAGAAATAGCAATGTGCACCTGACACTTTGCTTAGAACATGCAGGAAAATGACCTGCTGTCGAGGACGCCGGCTGCCCGAATGGCCAGCAGCTTCCAGATGGGGCAGAGCATGGGCTTTAGGAATCTCTGGTCTCTGTGCTGGTATGAGAGCTCTGGCCACGGGGAGCAGTGTGGGGAGGGGTCAACAGGAAATGTTTGCTCAAGAAAGGAGAGTCCCCCCCAAGCCCCTTTAAAATAACGGAACTTGGCGGCCTGTTAGGGCAGCTCATGCATTTAGCCCTAAGGGAGAGAAGGGTTTATGGGAATAATGCTAAAGTTATGCGGAAAGCTGATCGTCTTCAGAGCAGCTCCAGTAATGCTTCTGTGGACTCAGGCAAGGCCACATCCATCCGTTCATGCAGGCCGGTCCAGAAGCGTCTACGTGGAAGCTTCTCTTCCATGGCTTGCAGAGGTGCTGGATTTCTGCGTGGAGGGCTGGCCTCCTGCCTGCACCGACCACACAGCGCTTTACAGGCAGAGCGAGCGATGCTCGCATTGTCTGCAGAATGCCCCACCATGTTTTTGGGCTGGGGTTGGTGTTAGATGTACTTGATCTGCAGCTCGAAGGGTTCCTACAGCTGCTAGCGTGACTTCGTTTGAAAGGCTGCGCTGCAGAGAGTTGGTCCAAATAGGAAGGGTTTTTGATCTAAGTGAAAAGGAAAGAGAAGAAGAAGCCAGTAATTTTGGCTCATTCCTACCAGCATCTCTAAAGTATCCAGACAGCATGCAACGGCACCTCGCGCTGGTTGTTCCACACAGATGGAAGAGTCATTAAGAACAATAAAAGATGAGCGTCTTGGATTTGCTACAGTCCCAGCATGTTAATTGTGCATTGGGGTCTAAATCATAACAGAGACCTGCTAAAGGGAATCTGGGAGAGAACACAAAGATTTAATTTCATCTAAAGCTTACTGTTTAAGAGACCCTTGCATTCATCTTCTGCCAAGCTTGCTTTCCAAATCTTCCAACCTGCCAGTCATAGTCTGCTTGGAAAATTAAAACAAAAACTACAGACCGCCACTATATGGTGAAGCTGAGCATGTGGGAGGCTGGGGGGTGGGGTGGGGCAGCATCACGCCCGTGCCTCTAACTGGGAACAAGCTTCCTCCAGTGCCTGTGGGCTGCTAGTGTCCCCCTTCGGGCTCCTGAGCTGGCCATGGGTGCAAAGGGTCTGGGACAGGGGGCGGTGGGGATGGGGCATGGCTCTCGGGGTCGTGGCAGAGGCTGTCCTGGCTGCTTGCTCAGACGTGCCTGCAGTTTTTGGGGCTTGTAGCTCGGAAGTGTTGCCCTTCCCCTGTCCTCTGGCTTCGGAGCTTGTCTGGGGAATGGCTGCCTTTTCGCCACAGCATAAGAGAGCTTGAGCAGGCATTGAGGTTCTGCGAGTGTGGATGAGGAACGCAAGGGCTCCCTCAGCCGCTGTGGGGCCCCACTCCCAGTAGCGGCGGACTGGGACTGTGTGCCACCGGGCGGGGTGGAAGGGCCGCTTCAGGCGCCATCCGCTTCGGCAGCAAGGCCACCAGGCGATGCACAGTGCAGTGGGAGACGCTGCCTGCCAGGGAGGTTTGCTTGTGACCCGGCAGCTTCTTGCTGAGATTCGCCTTCGGATAGTTGTGGCTTCCTCCAGTCTGACAGGAACGAGAGAGACTTAAAAGGAAAAGGCCCTGCAGAGACGCGAGTGTTCAGAGGGGAGGAGGGGAGAGGTCAAGGGGAGCTGAGCTGGCATGTGCCCTGCAATTACAGCCGTTCCAGATGGCTGCTGGGGCCGGGAGGCTGCGGTGATCAGCCAAGCAGAGTTGCTTGTGATGGTGTGTAACTGCATGTTGGGCTGTGCCGTGGGGGCAGGCGCATTCCTCCGGTCTGGTCAGGCAGCCCCTGGTCCTTGGCTGCTGTTGGGTGCATTGGTTCCTTGCTCCCCGTGTGTATGTGGCGGGTGGCAGAAAAGGCTGGGGACAAGGGTTCCTCTGGCCCCCAGAACAGCTCCCAGGTTGGAAGGGCTCTTGCGAAGGGCGAAGGGCTGCTGCCCGTCCCCTTGGCTTGCGTGGACGATCGCCCGGCTGTGTTCGGTTGGCCTCGCTGCCTGAGCGCCTTCCCTTCCTTGCTGCTGAGAGTAGCAGTGGCGAGGTCGGCATGGTTTGCTGTGTATCTTCCAGCCTCCAGGACTCCACAGCGGTCTGCAAACAGCTTAAAAACAACACACGCAGACGCACACCCAACAAAACAAACACCAACGTTACAGTCTTTCCGTTTGTGGCAAACCAGCCCTCTGAAAGGAGCAGCAGAACAAAACTGCCTGGATCATGTGCGGCAGTGAGGGGCAGCCGGGCCTCCTGGGCAGCGGTTCTGCAGTCCGGGGCCGGAGCAAGACAGGCATGGCCTGCCAAGCACGGATGGCCACTGAGGGCCGTGCGGGGCTTGCTCCGCAGCTCTCGCGCATAGCGCCAGTTTTTGCAGGAGGAGAGTGGGCCCCTTGAGGACTTGTACTTGGGCAGTGCTTTTAACATGTTCGCAAATGATCTGGTTGTAGGAGTGAACAATGGCACGGCCATGTTTACTGTTAAAACTAAATTATTTGGGTGGTTAAAGCCAAAAGAGATTGCATGGAGCTTCAAAATGATCTCTCCAGTGAGGACGTCCTGTCCCCCCCCCCACCACACCCCCCGGCCTCTCCACACTCTGAAGCACTCCAATTGTCTGTGTTGGTTTTGAGGACAAAGCTGAAGGGTTGCCAAGGCCTTCTTTTCAACATAGCAACCATGTGCTGGTCACTACGTAGCCATTTCCTGTCCAGTGAAAGCCAACCCAGGAGACGGAGTGTGTGGCGAAAGCAGCCATCCGGTGTACTCGGTGCAGAGGGATTTATGGTGCTTAAGATAAGGATCATGCTCGGGGTCAAGTGCGTAACTCATCTTGGGGCAGGGCAGAAGGAAGGCCTGAGCATCGTTCTGCTGCCTGTGAAGGTCCGCCATCCTTCCTTACCAGTGAGCCAAATTGCTTTTCTCCGGCACTAGCAGAGCGGAAGGCGTGCAGCCAGGATGGAGCCAACCTGCCGATTGTTGGTTCCACCCTTCTGTGTCCATCATTTTATTTACAAATTTAAAAGAAATGTATCCCAGTTTTAAAGTAAAAATCTGAATGCAGCAACCCGTGGACTCTCTCCCCAGACATCCTGCATCTGTGGGGATGGGGTAGCCCTAGACCAGAGATGCGGAAGTCACAATCCCTTCATCCCAGGCTCGGGAAAAATAAGTATCTTCAGTTGCTAGGTATAAAAAAATTGCACTTTTGCTGGCCACGGTAAACAGCCCTCAAAATACCAGAATCAAACTTCCGAGCTCCTGAAATTTCTATAGTTCTGCCTGGAGAAATTCACGTCCCCCCACCCCTTCCCTGCTGCCCTGGGACCTAGCCAGACTTTGGGTTCCTGGGGCAAGCTTGTCATATGCTGCAGAACCAGAATAGCAGGTGAAGGCTGGATATAGTCTAGGATACCTTGTGGACGGCAGGGGTTAAAATGGGCTTCCCATCCTCACCCCATCCTGCCTCCCACTGTAGTGTTTGCCCTTGGTGGAAGGTTCAGGGCGGAAGCTGCTTTCCTGCTGGGTTGCTCCGAGGAAACCGGGCTCAGCAGCTCCCCAGCCGCCCGCACTTTGCTGCCTGTGCCCCCAGTTACTCTTCATCCGCCCTGCCAGCCTCTGGCCCATTAAAAGTGTTCTTCTCCTGCATGAGCTATTTGCTGAGTTGTTAATTAGACGGGGCTCTGGGGGAGAAGGGAAGGCCGCAGCCGACAAAGGCGCAGTCTCCCACTCCCCGGCCATGGCACAATGGGGATAAAAGTTGCAGGAAGGCCGCCAGAGACGCCAGCCGGGGAAGAGGAATGCTGCAGAGGCTGAGCTATAAAACCCGAGCGTCTTCCCCACTCCTTTTGTCTCCCCGTTTAATAGGAGCTTGTTAACCCGGCAGTGGGACAAAACATGAAATGTTCCTTTCAGCAGTCTGCTGCCTTCTCCCGCCCAGGGACTTGGTCGACTCGCCTCCTGGTGGGGATGGGGGAGCAGAGGACATGAGCTGCGTGGGCCTCGAGCGCCACCCCACCTCCTGTGCAGTGTGGGCAGAGCTCTCCTGATGGGAGAGGACCCTCCCCCTTGCAAAAAGTGATCTTTTGAGACTGTCTGAACCAATTCAATTGGCCTCCAGTCACAGAGCCACAAAAGGGGCCCTGGAAATGGGATTGGAGGCATTTCCAGCTGTGAGTGCAAAGCGCACCCCCCCCCAGCCTCCAGGCATTCCCCCTCCTCCACATTCTCCTCTGCTCAGCCATGCCTTCTCAGCCTGCTCCTCAAGACTCAGCCTCTTTGTCTCCCACTTGGAAGCAGAATGCCCCTGTGATGAAGTGCCCCTTGTATGCATCTGGCCTTGAGGGGGTTCCCATCATTCGCCTCCAGGCTGCGCTGGGCTTCATTTCCTGGTTGCAGGTTCTGCATGGCGGCGAGGGAATATCGAGGTCCAGCGGAGAGAGCAGCAGGGGGGGTTCAGTTTTCTGTGCCAGCAATTCTGGCCCTGGCCCAAGGGTTCTTCAGACACATAGTGGCCAGGCAGGGATTTGGGCTGCTCGAATCTCCCCGTTGAAGGAGGGTGATGCTCTTTCCGCCACACGGGCTCGCCTGTGTCTGGGCGACTCACCTTGGGGCACCCCTGCTGCAGGCCGTGCCCCACTCCCGCCCCTGCAGGCCTGAGCTGCAGCACCGCTTTGCCCGTCTGCTGCAGAGCGCAAGCGGAGTCCGGGCAGGCGCGCTCTGGGGTGTGTTCTCAGCAGCCCTCGGAATACTGTGGGCTGCAGGTGAATGTCTGGCGGCGCGAACTTCCTTGTACAGTCCTGATGTTTGTAAAATTCTCTTCTCTCCTTGCAGCAACTTCCAACGGGTCTCTGGAGGGCTTGGAGAACAGAGAAGGTGGGGTCTGCCAGACCCGCTCAATGAAGATCGTCATGAAAGTGGGCCAGGGTGAGTCGGCATGTACCCCGGGATGCGTGCCAGGGCCACACGGGGAGGGCGGGACTTTGGCCCATGGAGGACATGTGAGGAGAGGAGCAGGGACTTCGAGGAAATGTACAGTGGCTCCTGGTAACCATGTACATGTGATTTTTGTCCTTGCCTGTACCTGTGGATTGTCCTTGAAACACATCCACATCTCAGTCAGAACCGGAACAAGTAAGGACAGCAAAACTGAATGTGCCTCAACAGCCCCGGCAGCAAAGAGCTGAACCGTGTCTGAGGAGGCGGGTGGCATGGCGGCCCCATCTTGCACAGGCCTTTGGGCTGCTGAGATTCATCACTGCAGCCACCCCTCAACCTGGTGCCCCCGGCTCCGCTGGAGAGCAGTGCCAGGCATCCCAAGTATTTCAGGTCACGCTCTGAGAAAAAAACGTGAAGGTGGGGCGTCAGCTTTGCTATGCACAAGCTGCAGGAAGAGCACACCTGCAGAGTCAGACCCCTCTCTGAGGCCAGGTGGGCAACCTCAGGAGGTCCAGGGATTTTCTTCCCCTGGATCTATGGGCTGCAGTCCATGGGGCATCCCTCAAAAACGTGGGGAGAAAGTCGGCAGCAAACCATTCTGGAGGGCTACAGGGTGAGCCGCTGTGACTTGTTTTGACGCTTTTTGTGGCCTAGGGCATCAGAAGATTTCCTGGTGCAAACTGAACTTTTTAAAATTTAAGTGACCCCATGCAAATTATTATTATTATTACTGTTGTTGTTCTTACATTACATTCACAGCACTCCTTTCTTCCTCTTGTGAGGAGCCCAAGGCAGCTTACTTCGCTCTCCACCCCATTTTTGTCCTTTAAACAACTCCCCTGTGAGGTAGGCTGGGCTGAGAGTCTGGGACTGGCCTAGTGCCACCCATTGAGTTTCATGGCTGAGTGGGGACTAGAACCCGGATCACCCAAGTGCCTGCTCCAACATACTGGCCACCACACCGCACTGGCAAAAGACCAACTTGCTCAGGGACCGTTTCCACTTTGGTCCTTTCCTGAAAACCCACATCAACTGGTTTTCCTGCACCAGGTGCACCTTTTCCACTCAGAGTTTAGGTTTGATGAAAATGAACTTGTTCGCTGTCTCCAGAAGTAGGTTTTGGCCTGCGAGGGCGGTGCAGAAGCTAGTCCTGAAGTGCGATTTGTGGAATTGGAGGACTGGACTGAGTGGGTCTGAGGCTGGATGGGACCGTGTGTGCACAGCTTACGCCTCTTAACCTGGGTTAAGAGAAATATCCACAGAACAAGCCAAGGCTGCAGCCGTTGCTGATCTGCAAGTCTCCCAAACATTGGCAGCACCAAAAAAGGCCGTGGTGGCTGATTAGCAGAAGATGTGGGTGCCTTCTCTGCATGCGCATGCCTCTTGTCCAGGCACGGGGCAGGCCAGGGTGTGTGGCTTGGCCTGAAGGTTGAAGGGAGGCATGCAGACTCATCCAGTGTTCGCCCACTCCTACAGAATGGGCCAAATGAAGGGAGGCTTCTGGCGTCTCGGTTCCTCCCTGTGGCACCTTCTGGATCCCTTCCGCTGCAAGTGCGTGTTGCCTGCATGAGCTTCCCGACCAATGGGCCCAGCCAAAGCCGGCCTGTTCCTTGCACGCCCCCCTGCTGATGAGGAAGCGACGGTCAAGCTCAGGCCGGCATCCAGCAGTGGGTACTCGGCCAGGTGAGGCGCTGCCCTCCGCCTCCCGAGGACCCCGGTTGCTCATCCAGGCCTGTCTGTCTTTGTTCCTAGATCCCAATGCGGTGATGCCTGAGCAGCTGACAACCAGCCGGCCCAGCAAGGAATCAGATAATACAGGGCACATTGCCACACAGAGCCCTCGCAACAGACTCCCGCCTGTGGTGGAGCACCCTGGGAAGCCAGGTAGTGTTTTGCATGCGACCCTGGAACCGCAGACTAGCAGCAGGAGGCCTGGATCCGGGGACAGCTTACAAAGCCACTTCCTGCTTTTGATTCACCTGTAAAAAGTCGTGAGAAAGCTAAACTCCCCCACTCAAAATGGAAGCTCCAACACGCATGTTTAGCCTGGGGTGGATCAGGGGTCCTGTGCTTTCCAAGCTCTCTGGGGAGCGGGGCTGCGCCTCCTCCAGGCTGGCTGGAGTTAGGCATCTGCCCAAGCCGCGCCGAAGCCCTGGCCTGTGTCACATGATGCAGAGATCCTGCAGTCGCCAGTCCTGTGGAGGGAGAGGGAGCTTTGCTGGCCACACCTGGCTGCTGGGAATCCTGTTCATCACTCACTATGGCAGGCATGGCCCGGCCATACTTTCTAACCAGCCTTGATAGCGCATTGCTTGAAACGTGAAAGCCAAGATGCTGCCCATTTCTTCATATCTCTGAACTTGTCTGTGGGCATGGTGAGGCTGTGGCATAACACACGGCTCTAGCAGGCCACTCTCTGTGAAGACTTTGTGGTGAGGATTCAGACTATAGTGAGGGCGGAGAGCACGGAAGCATAATTTGGGAAAAGGGGGAAATCCAAAAGCCCCATCCACTGAACAGTGGGAAACTTGCACTGCTCTGTGCCTTTCCTGATCCTGCACAAATCTAGTTGCAGAGTCTCCAATTGACATTGCTCAGCTATCAAAGACTTATTTCTAATCATGAGAACTAGTAACTTGCTTTCCTAAAAATAAATAATGGTAAGCTCATCAGAATTCCGGAGGACCAAGGGAATCGTTGTAGCCCTTTGTCAGGTGCCTGTAGTCACACAGTTGTTCAGGGGTAGCCAGGCAGCGTCTCCTTCCCTCCAGAGCTGTCCAAGTGCCTTGGTCCATGCAGCCCTCATCTCGGGTCAGTTGTGTCCCACAGTTCAGTTAACATCCCTAAAGGCAGAAGAAGCCAGAAGCAAGAGGAGTGGCAAAGGGGGCACTGCTGCCAGCATGCGGTGGTCGAGCTCCAGGCGCACTGGACTCGCCAGGTCCGTGCCAGCAGAGCTGGAGAGCCCTCGTCGGTCCGGGCGGCTGAGCTTCGGAGCTCTCAGGTTGCTGCTTGTGGCCTCTGGAAGTGAGGGCCGGCCGGCCACCCTGAAGCTGGGCTTCAGCGAAGAGAAGCATAGGAGGGGAGCTAAGTACGAGTGAAGATAGCTTAAGTTATCATCTGCCAGGAAAGGAATTGCACATTTAAGATGCTGCGTAGAAAATGCACAGTAAAAAGGAATGGATAGGAAATGGACAGTAGGAAGGGAGCCAAGAGCTTCCAGAGAAGATTAAAACCAGCACAATGCAGAAGGGCAGATGAATAAAGGCTGCTGGAGGGAGCAGGAGGGGAGAAGGGTTTAGAAGTGAAAGAGATCTGAACAGTAGGACGGCTTCTGAGCCTTCTCCACCTCCCACATAGCAGGAGTTGGAGGGAGGCCTTCGGGCTGCCACGTCCAGCTTCTCCAAAGAGCAGGGAAGGTTCCGGCGTGGCTGGCGCAGAATCGTCAGGATCTTTTCCTGCACGGTTGGTGTGGCAGAAGCAGGCTGTGGCAGATTCGGCAGATACCTTGGAATGAGCCCCGAATAGTCCGGTCTGTTGCGAAGGCTGGGCCCCACAGGGCACCCTCGGCCGAGCAGGGTCCTCTGGTCGGCGTGTGTTGCTTTGTTACGCACGTGCCCGAGTCGCTCCTCCTTGCTCGCTTTAGCAGCTCACACCTCAAAGGCCCCCGGTGTCCGTAGGGTCTGCTGGGGCCAAGGAGGAGTCCCCTGCTGCCACGGAGGCCGCCGCCAACCCCGCTCCTTCTGCTCTCTTTCGCCAGACCCCGTGAACCAGGATGGCCAGGACTCGCAGGGCCCCGCGGACGGGTTCTTCAGCTCCAAGGTGGCCGTCTTCGCGGCGATCGGCGCCGGCTGCGTCATCTTCATCCTGCTGATCATCTTCCTCGTGGTCCTCCTGATCAAGGTGCGCAAGCGGCACCGGAAGCACACGCAGCAGCGCGCAGCGGCCCTGTCGCTCAGCACACTGGCCGGCCCCAAGGGCGGCGGGGGCGGCGGCAGCGCGGGCTCCGAGCCCAGCGACATCATCATCCCCTTGCGGACTACAGAGAACAACTACTGCCCGCACTACGAGAAAGTGAGCGGGGACTACGGGCACCCAGTCTACATCGTGCAGGAGATGCCCCCGCAGAGCCCGGCGAACATCTACTACAAGGTCTGAGCCGCGGCCTGCACCCGCCGACAGGAAGCACTCGCCGAGCGAGGGGGGCGGCCCCCGGTGTGCTTGCACTGCGAAGGAGGAGGCACGGAAGGCCTCGTGCGGCCAGGGCGGAGCAGTGGCTCCCCGCCTCATGCCCCCTCGCCCGCCCGCGCCCCCCTCCTTCCTCCCCTTAGTATTTAGTTTTGTAGTTCGGAGCTTTTGTAATCCCAAGACTTGGGGGGCAGCGTCCCCCACTTGAGGCCTTGGGGATGCTTCAAGCTGGTCGTCGCCAGCACGTTCTGCAGCCCCCCGGCTTGGGCTCTGTGCCTTTCCTCACTTTGAACTTGCCTGGGGACCTGGAGGACCTCCGCCACTGCCACGCCATCACCTGTCAGGGTTCGGTCCTGGTTGGAATTTTGCTCCCAGATTGCCGTGCTCGCTCCTGCTTCCATCATTTGGGTATTTGTGGGGTGGGGCAGGGCTGCGCCGCGTGAGTCCCAGAGCTGGGCGATCCCGGAGAGTTGGGTAGAGGAGCCATCTGCCTGTTACAGAGGTGGCAAAGCTGCAGAAGGAGGGAGCTGCCTGACCCCAACTTTCTACAATTATAATTTTCAAATATTTTTTGTAACGTCGTTCTTAAGCAAAATGGTGAACCCTCGAAACTCTGGGCTGCCCCCCTGCTACTTCCCAGCAAGAGCTTTCCCTCTCGCTCTAGCCCTCTCCTCCCACGGCTGCGCACAGCCCTGGAGTGCAGCCGCCCCCTGCAGACGGTCTCTGCAGCGTGGATCCCCCGCACCCACGTCTCCCCGTTCTCGGGCTCCCTTTTGCTGTAGGTTTGTTTTGCAAAACGGAAAGGTGAAAACTGCGATGGCCAGTGCGAGGGAGAATCCCGCTTTGAAGCCGCCCGTTGGAGGCCTGCTCCCTCCCCGTCCTTGGGCTGAGCACATCCCAGCCAAGCGCTCTTTCCAGGCAGCCGCAGGCATGAGGCTGCGCGACTGCGCCATCTGGCTGGGGAGCGGGAGGGCGGTGGCGAGGTGGGACGGCATGTCCGGCAGGGGCAGGTCCCTCCCCCGAAGGATCTAGAGCCGGGCCAGGGCCGTGAGGTGTGCTTTGCTCTTGCCACAGTGGCAGCCCTTCAGATGGCACTTTGGTTTTCTCCATGAGAGTGGGTGACAAACTCTGGGAGGCACACTCTGCCTGTGGCAGCGTGGCAGGTGGGAGTGAAGCCCTCCCCTTCCTTTGCACGGGATGCTGGCCTGGTTGCTGAGCTCCTCCAGGGAAGGCCTGTGGACCAGCAACGCTTCTCGAGGGGCGGGATGGAGCGGGGTGCGTCGCAGCTGCCTTCAGAAGGAAGCTGGGGCTGGTAGGAACACCAGGGCGGCCTCCCTGGGCGGAGTCCCCCCTGCCCCAGCCTGCCTCGGCCCCGAATGGCCCGCTGCGTGGACTGGCAGCCGTGGCCATCCAGGCCCCCCAGGGGCGGCACCCGCCAGGCCAGCCAGCGTCCCGCCCTGTTTGCCGGAGCCAAGGGGGAAGGAGGCGGCAGTATGGAAGGGGTGCCGCGGTCCCCTGGTGTGTCCTCTCGTTTGACTCAGCTTGCAGGCCCCGGCGAGGTTGGGTCCTGGTGTGGTTGCGGAAAGCGTCCCCCCCTTGAGGTCTGCCCCGTGAGGCCCACCACAAGCACGACGCCCACAGCCTCTGGGAGCGCTGGAGGCAGGTTTGACTGCTCCGCATCGTTTCATGCGCCATCTCCCGCAGAGAAGGGGGAGCTCATCTGCGGCTTGGCCGGCCCCGGAGCCCGGCCAGCCACTCTGCACTAGAAGCGGGGCTCAGCTCCTCTGATCGCCTCGGCACACCCCACGGGGCGCCGCGATCAGGGCACGAGCACCAATCAAAGACCCTGCTGCGCCCCTTTCATGGTCTCCAGGCGACCGCTCTCACCCCCCACACGTCCTGCGTTGTGGGGGGGGGGCTCCAGCTGCAATCCGTGGAAGCCGCTCCCGGTGCGCTGCTGAGATGGCGCTCGCCCTCTCCCATTGCCATGCTGCATTCGCCATGCCAGAAGCCTTACTTTGCGTGGAGGAGGCGACCACACTCCTGCCTGCATCCGTGCCCTCATGCAGCTCGCCCTCTCTGCCCGCCGTCCTTCCTCCCTTCCTCCCTTCCTCCCTCCCTCCCTCCCTCCCTCCCTCCCTTCCTTCCTTCCTTCCTTCCTTCCTTCCTTCCTTCCTTCCTGGAGAGAGCGGAGGCCCTTCCTCCACCACGCACACGCCCAGCACCTTCCTCCGCCCACTGCTGCACCAAAGCCTTACTTCTTCTCCACAGCTGACAGCCAGATCTGCTTCCTCACCAGCCCGCCCCCCCGCCCCCATGTCCTCTCAGCCCACACGCCCTCCTGCACGGGCAAGAAACGGGCCCTGCTGCCCTGGCAGGAGTAGGATCAGGCCGCCGGAGAGGCCTCTGCTCCCCTGCGGTGCTCTCTTGGGCCCCGGAGCAGCCCCTCCAGCCCCTTCCCAGGCCCTCCCTGCCGGCAGCGGCCGCGTTCCTCCCTCCCCGCTCTGCTCCGGCCACGCACTGTTTCTCCCCCCACCAGGATCGCTGTGCAGGGGCGGGGAGGGGTCCCCATCCCTGCCCCCGCCCCTGCCCCTGCAAGGGCTTCAGCAGCCATGCGCTTCGAGGGATGGTCCGGGTGTCAGCCCAGGACGTGGGTATCTCAGGGCTCACCCATACGATACCTGACAGCCTTTGTTTTTGTAATTGTCGTTGGTGTTGTTATTTAAACAAACTCAGATTTCCCCGCCCCTCCCCTGGTCTGTGGTTTGTTGCCAATGTAGGTGAACGCAGGTTGCTTAAAACCTGGAGGGGGCAGAATTCTGCGCCTTATATGTGGGCGCAGCCTGCAGAAATAGCCTGGAGAGGGAGGGCGGGAGGGAGGGAGGGCCCCGATGCTTTGGCCCCGAGCCTGTGGGCTGGATTTGCACCCCCCGCCTTCCCAGCACAAACCTGCTTCTTGAATCAGCTCATCTCGAGTGCATCCCCCACACGCCTCCCAGGCTTGGCAGCAGTTGCAGATGCAACCCGCTGGGTGGTGCAGCCCCACTTGGTGATGGTTGGCAAAGCCCCAACTTCGGATTGGCCCTAAGGGAGTGTGGGCAGTTCCCGAGTTGGGCCGGGAAGTGACCGGAAAAGCTGGGCTGGGCTGGGGGCTGCATGGATCCCTTCCGAGGCAGCAGAGCCAGCGTTGGGGCACTGGCAGCAAGAAATCAAAGCAAAGTGTAGGATGCCGACTTGCGCAGAGCCACAGTTGTTCACTCTGAATGTAATCTTGCGAGGTCGTTTCCAGGAAATTCTGGAAGCCCCAGAAAACTAAGAAAACGCCGCGCTGCTCCTTTTGCCACCTGCAGAGGCATCCTTCCGGCACGCTGCTCCTGGAGTGCGCTTCCTCTCTCTTGCACATGGGGCGAAGTACGACTCGGAGGGGAGGGGGGCTGAGCCGCTTCCTCCAGGAGGTTGCCTCGAGTTCGCCCCTCCCCAGGGTGATTTCGGCCCCCTCCTCCTTGATGCTACCTGTCCTCTTGAGTGTCTGCTCGAAGGCAGTGCCTCTGCTCAAAGGTTGCCACCATGGAAGGAGCAAAATCGACGAGCTGCGGACAGCCAAGTGAACATGGGAAGTGGGGGGGGGGGGGGGGGACAAGGAAGTGCTTTGGGCCGGGGAGGTATTTTTAGCACCTCTGTCGGCTGGGTCCTAAAGCAGTTTATTTTGAGTTCTTCCCCCTCCCCCATCAAAGGACACTTTTTTATTTGAGGTTTTATTTTGTGTAAATAACTAGTCTGTTTTGGAAGATATAATGTAAAGATGTTTTGTATAAACTCTGGATTATTTTCTGGTTGCTTTTTCTTAGAAAAAAACAAATAAGAACTAAAAAACAAGGGAAAAACAACCACCACAAGAACGGGTGTAGAACATTTGTCATACATGCGATCCACCTAAGCAGGGTTCATCCATCAGCAAAGACCATTCCCCATGCTCTGTGCGTGTGCGTGCCCGGGAGCGGACGTGGCGCTCAGCAGCCGAGTGCTCCCAGGGAAAAAGCCGATCCGGGGGTGCGGTGGGGGGGCCGGGCTGGGCTTGGGCAGGGACCGAGTGGCCGTGCCTGCAGTTCTCTGCTGCTGGAGAACAAAAGCCCTGCCTCACTCAAATCGCTTGGAGTAGCGGGTTTGGATTCATTTCAAAGTCCAGCATGCATCATAGTTTTGAGCAATGAGAGGAGCTGGTTGAGCAATCAAACGGGGCTGAAGTAATGCTTTGGAAAGGTTTCCCGCCCTGCCCAGGGCCAGGACTGCTGCAGGGCCCCGCAGGGTTCCCCTCACACCATCGGCCCGCTCCTGGCCCTGCACGCAGGGATCGGTGCCGTGTCCCTGTTTTCCAAAGATTCTTGGGAACTGCCGTTTGGCGTTCTGCTGAGAATTCTGTCGGAGACCCTCACAAGCTGTCCTGGGCAGAGGGAATGAGTCTCCCCCCGACCCCGGTCTGAGTGTCTAAACGCACAGGCAGTTATGCCTGGGACAAGCTTCAGCTCTGGAGCCTATTCAAAAACGGGAAATCTTGGCAGGCCTCCAGCTGTCTTGGCTATTTCAGAGGTGGAGGGACAGGCTCGCTCATATCCACCAGATGTCCGGGGCTGCATTTCCAGCGCTGCAGATCCATGGCCTCTGCAGCTCTCGTGCCGGTGCGCCCCATGCCCTGCTGCCTGGCACAGCTGCTGCATGAGGCTGGCGCATGCCAGGCTTGGCCTCCGGGCCCCGCCTCACGCAGCAGAGGCTGCAGCCACAGCCCTCCCGGGCTCCTGCCCTGACACTCAGTCATAGAACAGTGCAGTTGGGAGGGCCAGGAAGGCCACTGGTCCACCCCCGTGCTGTTGCAGGACACCAGTTGACACCAGCCCACTCCAGTGGCTGCCCAGTTTCTCCTTGAATGCCTCCAGTGCGGGAGAGCCCACCGCCTCCCAGGCCCCAGGAGGGATGGCTGGCGTCCGGCTGCCTGGGAGCCCGCTCCGGCTCGCCCTCTGTTTCTGGCATGCTGAACTCTGGCCCGGGGGGTTGGTGCAGTCAGCACACCTGTGCAGAGGTGGCCCTGCCAACGGCAAGCCAAACACTCTCACCAACCCAGCTGGGAGAGCCAGTGGTGAGGGATGGTGGGAGTTGTAGGCCAAGCCATCTGGAGGGCCCCCCGTTGCCCAGTCCTGGTGCAAGGGGCATGTGCACACACTTGCCCCAACAGGACATCATTTGGCCCTCCAGGGCCACCCTGCCACATCCCACCCTGCACTCCGGCAAGCAGCCACCTTCCCTTTTCCACCTGTAAGCTGCAAATGGCCTTCTGTCGCCTGTATCATCTCGGCGCAGGGCAGCAGCCCGCCCTCCTGCCTGCCGAGACCAGGCTGCCACCTGGCTGCCCCCCAGGAACGAGTGGCTGCTGGCAAAAGGGAGTGAGGCTTGGGCCTCCATTGCCCCGGTTCTCCCTCCCCCTCCGAGGGTCTCATGGTGGAGAGCAGAGCGCTAGCTCGCAAGACCCCTTCACACAGGTGGTGTCCCCTCACTTGCTTCTGGATTTGGGCGGGCGTGCCGCAGAAGGCGGCAACTGAGGGTTTCACTGCCTGTCGGTCCCATTTTAGCTTCCACTCATGTTCCACCAACGTTAGATTTTTATGCCAAGGGCTCAGGGTGTGGGGTTTCCTATTGGTGACACAGAATTTACCAGAACAGTGTGATCTTTTTGTTGTCATTCTGTCACTTTTTAGAGATTCCTTTTTATACACAGCTTTCACCCAATTACCATGTCATGATTGTCATCAGTAATAAATAATCTGGGATTTGAATTCCCTGGAGCCATGATGGAACCTGATATATTGTTAAATAAAAGATTTTTTCCTATGGAATTGGGCTGTATTGTATGTGCTTTTTCATTTACTACAGAAAAAATTTTGGAAATGAATTTCATACCTTATGCAAGGTCAAGAGAACTGAGCCATGGGGAGAATGTGAAGAGAAGATCGTTGTGTTTTAATTACTTAAACTGGGTTTGAGTTTTTAATCACTGGATTATATATCTCCAGAGGAGGCTAGAAAGACCGCAAGAGATGGCATGGGGTTTTCTTAAAATAGCTCTTGCCTGGTCAGTCATTAGGTCCTTTGGAAAGATTTAACCCTCCTCCTCTGCTTCAGGACCGCTAGGGAACCCAAATTGGATAGGATTTGCATCCTTCCAATGACTCCATTGTTGGGGCAAAATTCATCTTCAGGTCTGCGGGAACTGGGGAACTGGGCTAGAGCAGCAAGTCAGACTTCTGCATTAGGAATTAGGGGGTGCGAACGGAGAGGAAAGATCTAACTGAATTTCTGCTGAGCAGAACCGCCAGTTTCCATGCTAACGGTTTCCCTTCCCCAGCCACTTCTGCTCCAGGGGTCATGTGCTCTTCCGGCGCGCTGGATCAAGAGGAGGGAGATGTTGCTGTGAGCTCAGTTGGCCAGAATGCCACTTCGCCACGTCAGCACGCACCTGTTTGCCTAGCCAAGACGCTGGGGCTATGGAGAGTCACAGTCAAATGACAAGGGGAGAGGCTTCCAGCCTCCCGTACTGGCACTCTTTTGGTTGACCGAGGAGCCACGCTGCAAGGCCGTCACTTGGTTCTAAGAGCAGGATTCTGGGACAGGAGACGCGGCCCAGTTCAGGAGCCCGGCTGCTTTCTGCAAGGAGTAACGGACAACTGCTGGGCGGGCCTCTGTGCCTCACTGGGCCCCGACGTCGGCATCCGCGGGTTCCGTCCCGGCGTTTTGGCAGCTGGTGCCGGCCTGAAAGAATCCTGCAGTTCCGCCACAGCTCGACCTGAGCTCCAGGAGGGCTGGGCGCGTCGTTTTCTCTGCCGTTTGGGATGCATGGCCGCACTGGCACCTGCAGCAGGACTTGCAAGCGAGGCGGAAGCTCCAGGCTGTGCCCCAGGCGCTTGCATTTTCGTGTCTGTCCATGCTCGCTCGCTCGCTCGCTCGCTCCCACGACTGCTTCCTTCTGCACAGGTGCAGCCTTTTGATTTCCGGTGAGCAAGGATCCACAAAGAGTGAGCACACATGGAGTGGGCCCATCCAGAACGTGGCACTGATTAGAGCCCCGGATGCCTTTCCCGCTTGCGAGGGATGCTGCTGCTCCTGGTGGATTTTGCTGTGATGGGAATCGCGATTACAGGGAGGAGCAGAACTCATTGCTTTGCTGCTCCACCAGCAGATACTGCAAAGGATGAAACAGTGAGACCTACTGCTTGCTCAGCACCATTATTTGTGGTACTAAACCAAACTGGCAGGCCCCTGCCTCCAAGGGGCATGCAGTCAAAATACCAGTGGTGGGGCAGGAGGGCAGGGCAGGGAAGCGGGGCTCGCTTCAGGGGCAGCTGGGTCTGTGCAAACCACCATGGGTGGCCAGCACAAGGATGGGCTTGCCTTGCCTTGCCTGAATGTCCAGGGGGCTAGAGGGCGATGACTCAAAGGCCCAGAGGAGAGTGGGGCCCTCTCAGGCCTCCATGCATGGCTGCATAATGCACGTTCTGTTTGCTGTTATGTAACTGTTCCAAGAGCAAGCGCTCAGCTCCTGGGCTGGCCGCCTGAGAGAGAGCGGGAAGACGAGGAAAGGAAGGGAAGGAACTTGGTCTCGTCAAGGGATGAGCAGAGCACTGTAACAGGTTCTTGAGCCCGGACGTCGCCTGGCTCTCTTGCAGTTGCCTGACCGCAGGAATCATGCCCCTCCCCTAAGGGGCTTTGCCTTCACCGCTAGCTGTCCGGCTGCACCCCTTTCCTGAACCCCCAGCGTCATTGCTCTTTTGACCTGACTGTAATTTGGGGGGGGTCATTCAGATGGGCCTGACCCCCGCATGTGTGCACGTGAGCATGTGCCCCTCTGTCCACAGAGGGTGTGATCCTGGGCCTCCAAGCAGTGGGGACTCCCAGGTGGGCCATCCCCAGCTCTGGGCTGGGCAAAGCGACCCGAAGGCCCTGCCTGCCAGAGCAGAATCCTGAGTCGTCTCCACACTTGGGCTTCGCCTGCTCCTTTGGTGGACTTAACCGGCCGGTGGAAAGTCCACCTCCTGCGTCACCTCCACCTCCTGAGAGGAGTTGCTGGGGATGAAAGGCGGCCGGGGGACCTTTTAACTCTGGAGCGATGGGGGGCTGGGAAGGGCCCCAAACTCTATTGAGAAGAAAACAAAGCAGAAACGGGGAAGCCCGGGGAAAAAGGACCAGCTGGGGGAGGGCTTTGAACATTCGTGTTCACTGGAGATGAGAACAGCGTTTTAGGTCAGTTGCCAGCCTGCAGGTTGCCATGGTGACCTCCCTAACCTTGCTGCCTGGAGCAGCGCTGGCTGGCCGCCCCCATCCCCACCCCAGCCCCAGTCCCCATCCCGCTCTGCAAGCCCTCCTGTGGGGCCACAATGGAAGGAGCAAGGGGCTTCCACCTGCCTGGGCAGGAGACCGCCTGGGCTGGGCACACAGCCAGCATGCCCGAGCACGGATTCTGCGAGGCACAAAGGCCTTTCACCTGCAGGAGGGGTCTCTCCCCAGCTGGGGAGCCAGAAAGCCTCACATGAAAGGGGAGCACCCCAGGAGCGCTTTGTCCCTGCCTCCGCGCACTCTGCTTAGCCTTGCATACCAAGAGTCGCACGAAGTGCCCCTGCCAGCTTGCTGCCGCTTTTGCCCCCGCCCCACTGTTGCTTTCCTGCCAAAAGGCCAGGCTCATCCCGAGGGACACTCCAGCTGCCCGCTCTGCTTATCGAGGGAGGCACGGGAAAGCCAGTGTGCCGCGGAGGCCCCGGGGCCGCCCGGGAGGCAAGCAGTTCACTTGCACCTCTGCAGGATGGCAGATCTGTGCATCTTCTTCTCCTGGAGCAGGTCGTGCTTCTGCAGGGTGAGTCAAAATAAAAATAACGTGGCACCTTGAACTCTGCAAAGAAGTTCACCCTTTCAAGCTTCACAGCGAGCGATCTTCACGACCAGCATGCAAGGCAGTCGCAAGCATTGCCCCCGTTTTGCCGATGGGAAGGGGTGGGCATGCGGAGGCTGAGAGTGGCTGGCCACCAAGCAAATGGGCAGAGCTGGAGCATGAAGTGCAATTCTGCATCTCCCACTGTTGGCATTTAACCGTTTGGGTTCAGAGAGGAAGCCTTCCACACACCCAGCTCCATCGAATTGCAGCTTTAGTTTGTGGTGGCTGCCAAGAATGTAGTAATGGAGAAAGATGAAGGAATGCTTGGGGGATCTCTGTGATTGGAAGACATGCTCTTAAAAAAAGAAAAAAGCAAGGAAAGTAAAATGAAGGGGCTAAAATGAAGTTGGCTAATTAGCCAACTAGCCAATTGCCAGTGGAAGTTCCAAATGCAAAGGAGAGGGTGGACCTGTTCCAGGGTGCAAGGAACTCCAGTCTTTGCCCCAAGATTTCGGAAGACCCAGCCGACCTGCTCCCTCACCTCAATTCCACCTCAGCCGCCCTGAAGTCTGCAGCGCTCCGTTCCGGTTTCCCTGTCCTCTGGGCCACGTTGACACAAAGGCGAACGTCTCTCTCTCCTGCTGGTGTGCACGGCAGAGGCAGGAGGGCCTACCTGCGCTTCCGCTGGCCCTCTTGTGATTGTGGCAGGAAGCAGTGCAGGCATCTAGGATTTCAACTGGATTTCCCCCTTTCTCATTCCTGCTCGCTGGTGTAATTCCCCCAGAGCAAGCTCAGCGCCAGGTTCTTGCTGAAAATTGGCTCGTGCTGTGACTCCAGGGTCTCTTGGACAATCCTGAGCCAGCAGAAAGAGCCTGCTTCCAAGGAAAAGGGATTGAGGGGTCCCCCCTCGTTCTCCTCCTGGGGTAGGTTTGGGGGTGGAGGGAAGGCATTCTCCTCGGCTGCAAAAAATATTTTAGATGCAGGTTCATGCAACTGCTCGACAGCGAAATATTTTTCTCCTGTTTCAGTCTGGAAAGGGAGCTTGAAGACTAAATCTGCCGCACAGAAAGAAGGTCCATTTGAGGCCTGGTTCCCATGCTTAGGTAACTCCAAAAGTGTCATTGCCTGAATGGACCTTGGACTAGGAACAGTGGGCTTTGTTGCATGGTGAATTCCTTCAGTGCTGGGACAAAGGAGTTCTAACCAAAAATCTCTAATTTCCTTTTCACTTCGATTGGACAGTCTCTAGTTCAGCATCCCGCTCAAACTTTTGCCTGGTGCCATCTCCAGGCAGCATTCCAGTTGCTCTTCAGAGCAGGCACTCTGTGGGCCACCCCATCTTGGATTGTCTGGCACTGCATTCACACTGCCGTTCGAGGTAGCACTCCGGAAAGCAGTGGAAGCATTCTCCTCGGCTGCCCTCTCCTACGGGTGCTTCTCCCGGCAGGGTGGGCTGCATCTCTGGAACATGAGCATCAGGGGAGACTTCAGTTGCAAGAAGCCTGAAGCTGCTGCCTTTTGGGGTGCTGGAGGGCCTCCGTGGGCAGGTGCTCCCCCCGATCGGCTTTGTTCCTGCTGGAGAGAGCAGCAGAGCGGAGCGCCTGACTGGCCCAGCTTGAGCAGAGGGCAACTGGAGTGCTGCTCATTGAACAATTCACCCCCCACCCAAAAGCGAAAACTGCAACCTTGGGCTGACGTCAAACGCTGCGATTGTGCCTAGAGAAGAGGTCCCACCCTGCATCCCCGGGAATCTGGTGCCAGCCAGAGTGCCTTCCAAGGGCGGCTTCTGTCCCGCCCAGCTTTGCCTCCCTGCAGCAGCCATCCCAGGATCCCCAAATGCCTCCGTGCGCAAAGGCTCCAGAGGTGGGGGAACGCCGTGCAGAGGAAGCGTGGTGGGGAAACCGCTCCTTCACTTCTCCAGCGTTGCTCTTGGCAGTGCCTCCAGAAGAGTGGATGGCCCTTTCCCCCATGGTG